AACGTAAGGAAAAACAACCTTCAGAACATGGCCAAAGACCCTGAAAAACCCACAACAACCATCAGATCCTGGCCGTGAAAGCCTTTGAGAAAATCTGAATGAATCGTGCAAATTTGCACACCAAACATTGTTAGTGGCACAATTACAGTACAGCCCTCCTGCAGCTCAAAGGACTCTGAACCGACATGCCCTGTAGAGAAAACAGAGGTGTCATGGTCCTTATACTCTAGACCAGTGGTTCCCAACCTTGGGTAATCCTGGTGTTCATGCGCTGCAGCTCCCAGAAGCCTTCACCACCAGCTGTGCTACCCAGGGTTTCTGGGAGCTGCAGTCCAAGAACACCTGAGTTATCAAAGGTTGGGAAGCACTGCTATAGAGTAACTCCATGGGCACCAGTATGGCAACCCAATAGCTTGACTGAAGCTGAACCCACTTTTCAGTCAAAACAGATATGTAAACTAATTGTGGACTGTGAGGTAGGTATTACATTAGTGTTTATAAGGAATGGAACCACAACTTTGAATTAATATATTACTTAAATTTAGGAAATAAGCCTTATTTATTACTATTATGCTAACACAGCCTATTATTTCAGCACAAAATGATAACACAACCTATTATTTTAGAAGATTATAACATTAAATACTTACTCTCTGGGTCACATAACTCTTACAATTAAAAGCAAAATATTTTAACACATTCTTTTTCTATAACACTTGGGTAACTGGAAGTCTTTAAGTAAAGACTCTAAGTGGTTCTGCTGTTCTTTTGCAAGTGATTTAATTCCTTTGTTAAGGAATTTTAGACAGTGAAGGAATATTATTTCATTAACGTTATAATGTGTTATTATTTCTTATGGATCCACTGTTTTATTCAGGTAATGTGAGAGCACTCCATTAGCTGAAATATTTCTGTTTTTGCCCTACAGGTTAGCAGTGGTAACTTGCACAATATTAATGTAAGAAAAGATCCAAGCAAAATATGTTCCCAAAATTTAGTATTGTTGTAAGCAGAAAACATGGAAATGAAAAGCATTTGCTACTAAATAACCTGATAGGAATATCTTCAGTTTTCCTTACTGTGCTGACACTGGTTCATTTTGGCATGCACTCATATGACAAAAGGCCATGGAGGAGGTAGGAGGAAGAACACAAATTGTTCTTAGACACTTCAGTATGCAACAGTGCCTTGTGTCAACTTTACAGAGCTGAACAGAGAGATGACCAAACCATGTACTGTACGACTAGACAATGGCTCTCTCTTCCTATCTCTCTCTAACATGAAAAGTAGACTTTAAATAGTGTAACCAGAAACAAAACAATGGGAGGCACCCCTTAATCTCTCCTTTAAAATTCCCACACCAATATCCTTCTCTGCCTCTGGGGAAAAGAGGTTACCATGTCTTTCTCTCTCTGATGGAGCTAGAGCTGCATTCAACAGACAAATGGTAACTTTCTTAGGTTTCTTTTTCGCCTAAGAGCAGACTTACAAGACTGCTTTTCTTCTGTTCCTTTTCCACGGGGGACGAACTCCGGGTCACAGCTTAGTTAGGCACTGAGCAGATTTATTTATTTATGAATGATAAGTAGAGCCGGGCTGTCACGAACTGGAACTATCTAAAAAGCTGGGAATGAAGCATAAAAGCAATTCAAGATCATCACAGATGACTTGAAAATCTTAGGAATATTTCAATAAATGAATATTAGTCTCTCTTCCAAGTCACTTCTAGTGTTATGTTATTACCAAACACAACAGAGAAGAGGAAGGAGGGTGAAAAAGATGAATGTTAAAGCACCATCAAGGAGAACAAGCACTTCAATCAAAATTTAATGCAATGTTCCTTTTATGTCATCACATATGTTCCCTACCGTGACAAAAATCACATGGACAATGGTTTATGCTTAAACCACAGACAGTCAACGACAATTCAATGACAGGAGACAAAAATATCCTCCTCACTCACAGCAGTGGGGAAAAATATTAAAACTATTGAATAATCCAAAATTTGCTTTCCTTCGCATTCATCTTCCTGCCTTAGATGAACATTCTGCTCAGTGGCAGAACGAGCCTTTATTTGTTTGTTTGTTTGTTTGTTTGTTTGACCTCTACCCCACCCAGCTAGACCAAAGGTCTACTCTGAGCAGCAGGTAAAGAAATGCCTTGAAATCCACCTCTGATCTGCACAAATACAACCTCAAGATAATCTATAAGATCACAAATACAGTGGCGCCTTGCATAGCGATCACTCTGTATAGCGACGAAATCGCTTTGCGATGGACTTTTTGTCATCGCAAAAGCGATTGCTTTGCGATGGTCCCTGTAAGCAAACACGGCGTTCGAAAACGTCCGCGTAAGCCTGGACAGAGAGCAATCAGGAGTTTGCACATGCTAAAATGGGCTGAGTGAGTCCAAGCTCAGCTAGCCATGCTACAACACTCCATCTTACAGGTCTGCCCACATAAGAACACCCTTGTACTCTCAGATATTACTGTGAAAAGATCAAGTGGGCTTTGTAGTCCTTAGACTTAACTTGCCCCACTGGCAGGACTCCTTAAGTATGCTAGGCCGAGGCAGCACTCTCAGATGACCCTAAGGCAAGTGTACTGTTCAGGAAACCAACTGATTTTTATAATCATTAATTTATTAAAGAATAAGCATGTGACTAGGTATCAAAACCAAACTAAGTCAAGGCAAGTAAATAAGCATTGTGTTAGTTATTTACAACTCTGTAGTGAGGCAAAGAAAACATGAAAAATAGAAAAGTGTTCCAAAAACCTTACTAAAATATAAAAAGCCATTAAAAAGAATGAAAACAGTTAAACAAAAATAATCCAAACATGACATTAAAAGGCTATAGTCCTCAGTGTTCTTGTAGAATAAAAATCCTGTACCAAAAAGGAAAATTCAGTAAAAGTCCCATTGTCCTTACAAAATTACAAGAGCATAGTCCATATGAAGTATTCCAGAAATAATAGTTCATAGAGAAATAATCCATAGCCCTTAGGAAAAAGCCCATAGGTCCAAGGGTAATCCAGTATAGTACAAAGATCAGTCCATGTAAAGGTTCGTCTCGATAGACTTCAGGGTGTGTCACGAATGACTGACGAGTAGGTCTTGAATGACAATGTCCATAGGCAAAAAGTTCCTTTTTCAAGAGTAACTGGCAAGGCTTATCGTACGTTCCCACGATGTTATCCAATCAGAGTCTATTACTAGGCAATCAGTCCTGTCACACCACCTGACTTCTTTCCCATAAACACCAGGTGTTATTTGGGTTACTGTAGTTTAGCAAAGAGTCACAACAAAAACCATCTCTCTTATCGCACAGAGTTCTTTCTCAGGCTTTCAGAATAACATTCTTTCCCGCTCGCTCTAGCAAACAACCTGTAAGCCTAGCCTGTCAGTATTATACAGACCCTTTATACAGAGAACAAGATGGAGCCTCTCTTGCTCATTTCTTAATTACAAAACCCATATTCCTTACAAAACTTTAACTCAAAAACCCATCTCATCACAGTCCCTATGGGGAAATTCACTTTGCGATGATTGCAGGGAAGCGATCATCGCAAAGCCCCCATTTTCGGCCAGCTGATCGGCAGTTTCAAAATGGCCACTGGGTAAACAAAATGGCCAGCCGCTGTTTTCAGGCACAGATACCTCGCTTTAGAGGCACCGAAAATGGGGCACTATGGAGGATCTTCGCTTAAAGGTGAGTTTTTAGCCCATAGGAACACATTAATTGAGTTTCAATGCGTTTCTATGGGCTTTTTATTTTCGCTTAGCGATGTTATCGCTTAGCAGCGATTTTTTTCTGCACGGATTAACATTGCTAAGTGAGGCACCACTGTATTAAACCACACCAATAGGGCCACAACCTACTGAGCTTCTGTTAAATCGAAAGACTCACCAGGATACTAACATGGGATCATGTGACTTGCACAACTGCTGCAGCACATGCAGATAATTTATTCAAAGAGATCCTGAGCTGCAGAATGGCAACACTTGCATAGACAGTGTGACCTTGCATGACTGGAAGGACCGTCCCCTGAGCGGAAGCTCAATACAATGTCACCATCAGGTCAATGCCATTAGGTTGGACTGGGTAACTTGTGACCCTCCAGATGTTGCAGGACTCCCGCTCCCATCAAGCTAATCAGTGTGGCCAGTGGTCAAGATGCTTCTTCTTTAAGGAACATATATTCTGATACAAATCCATGGTCAGAAATGGCATATTTTATAGTATTTGTGCCCAAGAATGCAAAAGAATAATGAATAAATCCTCCTTTCTTGCTTATTTTGCACCAAAAAAGGGACACAATAAGGTGCTGCCAGTAAATTTGAAAAAGGTATCAATGAAAATATATCCTGAGTGTCTCTTTTGCAATTTATCTATTTGGTTTGCAAAATGATCCATACTATTTCCACTTCCCTCACAATTTCTCAAAAAGTGTTTCTTTCCCTAGACAAGCAGGAAGGGTACACAAGCTTCCTTCCGGTGATCAGCTTTGCACTCAGTACAATAGCAATTAGGAGATATCACTTCTGAGCAAGAAAGGGTATTTGAAATTCCTGTTACAGTAATTTCCCCATTAGCTCTTGAAGATAGGCCAAGGAAGTTAACAACTTATTTGACTCGAAAGAAGAGACCTGGAGGTCACTCCGTTCTTTTTCTCCTCGGCACTTTATAGCTATCATCGTTTAACACTTGATGATGATGAAATACTAATGTGAAAAAATGTATGCATATGCTTATAAAAGAAAATGCCCTTTAGAACTAAGTACTAATGCTGCAAAGGCAGCAGAGTGCTATGGGTTTCTCTCTCTCTCCACCAAAGCAATAGGCCATCAAAAGGAGAAAATGATAAGACAAATCATACATCCATGAATTTATGAGTAACAAGTAAGAGGAAAAAATATGCACATACATTTATTTCAAGTCAATACTTGGTTCCCACAGTTTGTCAAATAATATGAGCGGGGTAAACCTTCAAGCAACTTACCCACACATGAGAGGGTGTAGCCAAGGACAGGATCATGGACAAACTGGCGATCATTCAGCATAGTCACACAGTACAAGTGAAAACAGTCCAGGCAAATGACATGGCGATGAATACACGGGAACACTAAGACAGGGCTCCTATGAGGAACAGAAAAAAGGGGGGGAGGAGAGATGGTGAAGGTTCAGTTTGTCTTATTTATCTCAGGACAGCTGTTAATATAGGCGATTTATTTCATGCCAACAGTGACCCAGCTTTTAAATAGAATATCTGCACAGAGAACTTAATCGTCTAACAGTCTGATAGGACACACCAAAGATCTCCAATCTTTGGGGCCAGTGGGTACATTTGGTATTCTGACAAAACATCATAGGTGCTATCACAAAAAGGTTGCTAGAAAGTTGTGTGTATATGAAATATTCATTTCAGGGAAAGGTAAACTGGCCCGAGGTTCTTCCCCAAGAACAAAAGTACGAAGGGCACACATACGTATACACATCCCTAAAAGTTTTTTCTCCAACAAATCATATATTGCACAGAATGGCAATCCTATTAATTTATCTAAATGACCCATAAGCTCCTAAAAACAATATTGGATCCTGGATGTAGTTTGTATTAGAGAAATAGTGTTATAATATTATTTTAGCCCAGATTCTCCCACCCTCTGTTTCTGTCTACCCCACTTTTCCACTGAGTTTGTCAACCCTCTGGAGATTTTCAGGGGTTCAGGAAGCCTCAGCAGGAGAGAGAAGGGCTAAAACTGTATCCCCTATTCTTTCACTGGTGGGAGTAATCAGTGAGTGGAACTCTGCTAAGGAAATATTTTATGGAAGATCCTCCAAGCCCTGGGGGATGAAACGCTTGCCATGACATAACATTGCCAGTTATAGGAGCTAAAAAGGGGTGGTGCTGGGGACATACAAAGAAGAATGGAACTTCATCAGAATACCAGGTTTGCTTTAAAGTTTGTGTCTCTCCTGGCAGAGGCATAATGTCATGCCTGTGAAACAAGCTTTCAGAAGCTAGGTGGAGCCCATAAAGTTTCCAGCCTTTTCATCTTAAGGTATTTGGAAGACAAAATTCTGACTCAGATTGTAGTTCATCAAGGCACACTCCAGGAATAAAGGTTAGCAAAGAACATAGAACTCATGCATTAAGATCCATTACAGAAACCTAAAGCACTCAAATGCAATTGCTTTAATATTGTCATTACCGTCATGCTGCAATGAGGACTACAATATTGTTAGTGCACAGGCAGGAACTAAAATAATGGGTAACTTTGGCAAAAGGGCACTTAGCACAATGGGAGCACCTGGACATCATAAAAAAACATAACAAAGAGCAGACTATTTAATTGTTAGAACCCCAGACCATGACAGAAATGCCGTTCAGGAATTTTGATTCCACTGTCAAAATCAGGTGTTTAAGAACAAGTTATCCTACAAGATACCCCACAGAGGTAATCAATACCTGTGAGAAGAAGAACCCCATACATCAAAGCGGGACTCCCAAATATCCTCTCTTCCCACAACCAGCACCCCAAAGGCACTCACTCGAGGGTACTCTCTGCCTTCTCCTCCATCTCGGAAATATGAGATACTGATTAGAATTAGGGCAAGGATTAGGTTGTAATCCTGAATGTGCTCTGTGGGTACAGAAGCACAATATCTCACATTCATAAACTGAAGGAAGGAAGGAAGGAAGGAAGAAAGAAAGAAAGAAAGAAAGATAGAAAGAAAGAAAGAAAGAAAGATAGAAAGAAAGAAAGAAAGAAAGATAGAAAGAAAGAAAGAAAGAAAGATAGAAAGAAAGAAAGAAAGAAAGATAGAAAGAAAGAAAGAAAGAAAGATAGAAAGAAAGAAAGAAAGAAAGATAGAAAGAAAGAAAGAAAGAAAGAGCATTTCTGCAAACTCAGATGCAGCAATATGTCTTAATAATAAGTTCAAATATTCTACACAGTTCGTATTGCCCGCTTCTATTAATATCTGAACATTCTGAAGTTTTTTTTCTTTTACATCTTTCATTTAATCTGTAGCAAATCATTTAAAATCTTCCGTCTAATCCCAAGGAAGTAGATTGAAAAACTATGAATGCAGGAGAGTTACAACTAATGCATGTGAAATATAATATTCGGATGCACCGTGTATACTGTATACAAATGGATAATCTTCTTTCAAAATATGCTGCAAAATCCCATATACTATAGACGTCAAGGTAGTATGTCAGTAGCATTAAAAATATAATCTCAGTGTTTTAAGGGATTTTGATGACTAAAGCTGCTTACAAACTGAATTAAATAAAACCTCCCCATTACTAATCCTTATTAGTTGACCACTTGCTGTTCTAAATCTAACAAAAATGATTTATAAAAAAGAAAAACAGAGACAGGCATTCAGAGTATTTTCTTTCAAAATTTGCAAACAGACCCACATTGTACAATTTGGGGTGGCGGAAGAAGAAAGAGGAGGAGGAGGAGGAGGAGGAGGAAGAAGAAGAAGAAGAAGAAGAAGAAGAAGAAGAAGAAGAAGAAGAAGAAATTGAAGTTGTTTTGTGCAGCTCAGAAAATTCAGTGTCATGCTAATGTTGCATTATGTTCGACTATGGGGAAAAATGACTGATAGCAATGTGAAAAGTAATGTGAGTAGTCTAGGCTCATAATAAATCCCAGATCAAGTACTGTATTCCTGTTTCTTCTCCCCCTGCCAAAACCATTCTGCCATCTTCATTGTGTACAAAAGGTTCGCCAGTGCTTCAGAGATGAATGGGAATATTTTACATCAGTGAAGAGGAACTTCAGCAGATCCACAGCCCCATTTTCTGTTAATGCAGTGCTGAGAGCTGCATCAA